TTATTTTTTTATGGATTATTTTACTATATTTTAGACTTTACTTCCGTATTTGTTCTTTGATTATTAATAAATTTAAAGATTATTTTAAAAATAGATAATATTATTCTAACATTGGCTTGCCTAGCAAGTGAAATGTTAGGCGTCATCACGGTCCGAAGGTGGGAATTTCTGGTCGTGACACTTTGCGACTTGAAGTCTTTGCTCGACTTTGAAAAGCTTTGTGACTTGAAGACTTTGCTCAAATTTGAAGATCTTTACATCTTAAAGATTTATTTCACATTTGGGGAGTTTCGTGACATACAATGTAGGCTCATGTTCTAAGAACCCTTATAACTTGCAGTTAATGCTCGTGCTTTGAGGAGTGTTGCAACATGCAATTTAGGCTCATGCACTAAGGAGAATTATAACTTGGAGTTTAGGCACATGCTTTAAGGAGTGTTACGACTTGCAATTTAGGCTCATGCGTTAAGGAGCGTAGTGACATGCATAGACTCTTCGGTTTCATTTTCGAATGAAAACTTGCCTCCATCCTCGCTTTCTTGTTCTTCTTCTTCGTCGTAAGGCTCAAAGACAGGTAGCACTTGGTCGACACTTATGGCCATATTTAGTTCCATATCATGAGCACGAGTTGCTAGTTCTTCAAATATTTTGGGTTTTATGCCTTGTAAGATATAGTGAAGACCCCAATGCATGCCTTGAATGCACATTCCGATGCCAGAAGTTTCACTAAGGCGATCTTTGCAGTTGAGGCTTAAGCTCCTCCAACGGTTGATAAAGTCAATAACTAGCTCATCATTTCGTTGATGAACGTTTGTAAGTTCGATCATGCTTACGATGCGTCTTGTGCTATAAAAACGATTAAGAAACTCCTGCTCTAACTGCTCCCAACTATCGATGGATCCAGGTTCTAGATATGTGTACTAATCGAATGCATTACCTTTGAGAGATCGAACAAACTATTTGACAAGATAATCATCATACGTTCCAGCATTGTTGCAAGTTTCAACAAAGTGCTCTACATGTTGTTTCGGATTTCCCTTGCCGTCGAATTGTTGCAACTTAGGAGGTTGATAACCAGCTTGCAAGTTGCATCTTCAAGTTATCAATTCTTTGCGTATATGGCTTTGCATATGTGAGAGATAATTTGGACGACGACTCAGGATTATCTTTGATAGTCTCCATGATGAAGTCCTTCAATTTCTCAACGGGAATTAGACCTTCAGTAGAGACTTGGATCTCCTTAGTTGTCGTTGCTTGCTTTTCGGAGGAGTCTCATTTCTCTGGTAACCTTTGAAGATTTAAAGCTGTTTGTATGGATTCTCCTTCTACTATGCTATCCAACTTATTTGTTAACTTGGAAAGTTTAGCATCTTGATCTTGCGCGCACTTTGACAAAACTTCAACTGCTTTCATCAAATTTGCGAGTTGTTCTTCTACGGTAGAAACTTCAATAACCATTGATCGCATAATGTCCGTAGAGGATGAAGAATGAAATGGATCATTAATGGGATAGAGCTTGGAGGTCGCATTAATGGAGGCTAAAGTAGATCCAACGCTCAAGTCATCATCATAAGCTTGCATGAAAGGTTTCTTGGACTTAGATAAACTAAGTTGGGCAAGGACCTTTTCGATCCTTTTGATAACATTGTTCCCTTTTTGGGTCGTGCTTGTAGAGGATCTTGCTCCTTTTGAAGACGAAGATCCGAAAATAGGGGTTGACGTGGACGGCACTTGGAGTGTTTGTTGTCCTAAAGAGCTTGCTTTGATACTTATAACTGGCCCAAAACTTCCAAAGGTAACATCGAGGATGCTTTCCACATCAGCACAGAACTTGGAATTAGCAGCCTCACTAGAAGTTGATCTGGAGTTAATTTTCTGTTAAGCCATTTCGATGTTCTTGAATTTTGGTGATTGAAAAGTTGAGATGAGAGGTAGAGATTGCCCCGCTGGGCGTGCTAGAATTTGTAGACAATAAATTTGCGTCGAGAAAATAAAATCAAGACCGAAAAATATTGCAACAATCGTAGTATTTTATTTCAAATAATATATATGTACAATCCCTATGGATCCTCTAATTCTTCTTTCCAATAGAAAATAAATTCAAGGTCCTTTGAGCTCGATCTTGAATTTGTAGTTGTTGTCACGAACGATGATATTGAATTCAACTAGCATGAACATTGATTTGAACTCGTACTCCTTGAATCTTGATTTGTTTTTCGTTCTTGAGCTTGAACTTGATTTCTTGAACTTGAACTTGATTGCTTGAAGCTTGAAACTTGTAGAGAAATTTGTGACTTTTGATCTACGAGCTCTCTCTTGCTTCTTGTTATAACTTCTGGTCCCTTTTCTGGGTTATGAAGACCCCTATTTATAGTTGTGGGATAGAAGGGTTGTGATGAAAACAAACTCTTTTCGACCAATCAGATCGGAGCGTGACAAGGCCGCATTTGATTGGTCAGAATATGTTACTTGCACATGTGGCGCGATTTCATTGGCCTTTTAATTTGACTTGGCATGCCTTGTCATTTTGACATGTGGCACGATCCTATTGGCTCTTCTGTTTGACTTGGCGTGCCACGTCATTTGATACATAGCACCAAACTGGCCTGACATATTGGGTCTAATGAAGTGAGCTCATTATTTGTGACCCAACTAAATGGGCTAGCCTAGTCAATATTTATTGGACTTAAGTAATTAATCCAATTATATTAGTCCATAATATTTATTTAAATTAATATATTTAAAATATAATCCAAATTATATATTGAATTTAAATTCAATAAATTTTGCATGCCTACAATAATCTCGATCCACTCATCACCATATAGATAATATTTTTTTAGTCATTTTCGAAGAATAATTGTTATTTTCTAAAAGCTCTTTACATAATTATACAATTCATAAGCATTTATTTTTCCCCTAGTACTTGCTTTATTGTTGGTCAACTTCAGTGGTCCCACAAAAGGCCAATTTTCTTCTTTATAATAAATAGGGAGCATCAATTATCAACCTTGTGAATTTAGTTTTCTATATTAGATTGACAGCAAATATTGTGAAATTAATTTAGTATTATCTTTGGTTTAATATTATCAAGTAATCATGATGACCACATATTTTTCCTTTTGCTTTAATTTGAAAATGATACGATTTCTACTAATTAATTCGGCGATTTAATTTATTCAATTCCATTAAAGGGGTTTTAGCATAAGCTAGAAGGGTCGCTTTGCGTGTAAGCATAAACCCCTTTTATGGAATTGCCTTAGCTTTAACGAATAAATACGTATTTGCATTCGATATTTTATATTAAATCAAATAATTTAATTTTAATAATTAAAAATATTAAAAATAGATTTTAGCTTGATGAATACGACCTTTAAAATTCTCATCATTAAACTTATTGTACTTTAAAATAATGAGTTTAAATTTAGTATTTATTAATTTTTTTGTGAATATTCAAATAAAATTATATACACTGTATCAAAAATATTGAATTTGCATGAACCTGGTGCCGAAACATTGTATTCGCCCTTGATTATGGTTATGTGATAAACTTGTATATGAAAATATATTTATCTTAGCTTTCATTAGTTTGATACAAAAAGCCGAGTCAATCAAATTTACTCCTTAACTATGACATAAGGGTCAGTTCTATAAATGTCTAGAGTCAAATTTCCTTCTGCCATTGAACTCTAGGGCCAATCTCCGTCCAGGAATTGCAATTTCATTCTATTCCTTAGGTATAAAAATATAAGTTTACTTGAAATTCTCATCTCTATAACTTTCTCTCCTCTAATATTTAACAGCTTACTCTACTTAAAAAGTTAAAGGAAAAATAAAAAATAAATCTCCTAACCAAAAAAGGGAGAAAGTAAAAGTAAAGAAAATGGTTTACAGTCAGTCACTTTTTTCTAACAATAAAAGAGAAAGCTATAAATATGGTAAGGCTATTAACGTGCACTCAGAAAATAGTATACTAGTGATGTAAGAAGTAAAAGGAGGAATATCATTACCAAAATTGGAATATAAGGTATATTTACAAGAGAAAAATAATAAAATAAAAGGTAAATTGCATTTTTGCTTCTTTTTTTTTTTGAAATTTTAGAAATAATAAATAAACATGCGTTATTATTAAAAGTTTCTCAAAAATTTTACGAAATTAAAGTTTTTTTAAAAGGTTATTCTTTTCACTTACATAACACTCATACATGTTCAAAAGAGTTGCAATAGTCCAAACATCTATTTTTTTGCGCAAATATTTTCAAAAAGTTTCTTTGAATTAAAATTTCCAAAAATTGTGGCTTATTAGAATCTTTCTTTCTTTTACTTTTTCTTCTTTCACTATTCACATTCACAAGTCAAATCCCACCCTATAAGAACTTTAAATAAAGCAACAAAAAAAAATGTTTTCTCTTATTTTGGTTCTCCCTTTTTTATATTCATATTTCGTACATTTTGTCTCTATTTGCTTATGAAGAAAAGCCTTAAATAATAAGCAACCATTGAAGGGATTAATATAAAAAATGTAGGGGTATATATTTTATTTATTTCCCCCCTTCTTTCTCTTTCTTTTCTTTTCAATTTTGTAAGAAAACAAAAAAGGAGAGAGAGCGATGGTTGTCTTCATGCATTGGCAACCTAATTTCACTTTTCCCAACTTCAACTTCTCATTTTTTTAAAATTCAAATTATATATTGTCAGTAATAATCAGTATAATTTAATTTATTATATTAGGTTATTTATCATTTATTACTTAGTTATCAATCAATAAATATTAATTAAATAAAGTTATTTGCAATTAACTTTTAAGTAATGTGATGACATAAAAAAATTTATACTATTACTTCATAAATTTAAAATTTTCTATTTTCAAAATTTTCTTTTCACCGGACTTCAAACCATTTTCTTAACCACAATACATAATTTTCCATCTTTCCATTATTTATTAATTAATGACCTAATATTTAATAATTTCTTTTTCTGTCATTATTATTATTTCCCTTCAATTACGATTCAGACAATCTGAGGGAAGTTAGGAAACCCAAATTACCTTTTTTCTTTTCTTTTTAACTCCACAAAGACAAAACTCCATTTTTCACATTTTCTCATCATTTCTTTAAGCTAAAAATTCAATATTTTTCCTTTAATCCCCACTCTTTATTTCTTGAAAATAGCTAAAAATCCTTAATTTTTTTTTGATTTTTCCCATTAGCTTCAGAATTTTTGCCAGTTTAATGCTTCTGTATTTTCTGTTCAGCTGGTAAGATTATCAAAAGTACTTAAAAGCTTCATTCTTTTTTATTTTATTTTTTCATTTGGGTTCTGTTTTTTTTAGTCTGTTTTACCCCACCCCTCTCAAATTTATCTGGTTTCTATAATTTTTTATTTTTAATTCTGGAGTGATTTAAGCATATAGGTTTATAAGTTAAAGGTGAAAACTTTGTGTTGTGTTGTTAGTTTTTTTTATTTTTTTTGAAGGTTTCTGGAGTGATTTTGGTGTCTTAATTCTGGAGTGCTTTTTGGCATTCTGAATATAGAAAAATTATGGCTTTATGAGTAAAAGATTCAACTTTGTGTTGTTTTGTTAGTTTTCTGATATTTTTGAAGATTTTTTGCTTTTAACTGCAGGAAGATGATGATATTTTTTTGTTAGTTTTCTTGATTTTCTGATTTTTAATTAGTATTTTGTTAAAAAAAATTCTCAAGTGATCTTTATTTTGGTGTTTGGATTATAGGAAAATGGTGGGTTTTTGAGTACTAGGTAAAATAAAAAAGAATTTTTTTTTTTCTTTTGGGGTGATTTTCTTGTTGAAAATATTTGAGTTATGGAGGGAAGAGAGAATATGAGTATGAGTGGAGTAACAGTAGTGGGATCAGATGCACCTTCAGATTACCACGTGGCACCTAGAACCACCACTGAATCAGCAGCTCAAATGGTGGTTATTTCACAAACTCCGGTCACTGCCACGGCGGCCGGCGCCATAACCGGCGGCGGAGCAATAGTGGTAGCGAAGAAGAAAAGGGGTAGACCAAGAAAGTATGGACCAGATGGGGCACTGTCACCTAAGCCGATATCGTCAGCGGGGCCTGCGCCATCGCCGGTGATTGATTTTTCTGTGGAGAAACAACGGGGGAAAATCCGGCCAGTTGGGTTGGTTAGTAAGCCTCATATGCCTAAGCTGGATGTTGAAAATTCAGGTAAAGATATTACTCCCTCCGTTTCAATTATGTAACTAGTTTGATTGGGCATGTAGTTTAAAAAAAAGACTTTTGAACGAGACTACTGTACTAAACTCCTGCTGTGCATGGACTCTAGGTAAATCTGGTTCTATAATTTAAATTTGACGGGTTCAACATTTATGATATTATAATTGAAGTCATTGCACTTTTAAAATTATGTGTTCAAAATTTAGTAATTTTCACTTATTTATTTATGCTCCATGTCAAAATGCCGAATTCAGTTGAACCTATTAGTTATTTAGATTTTAGCTACATCCACCACTCGGTCCAAGGAAACGCCGGACCTATTGTACACAGTGACGGACCCAGGATTTTATGCAAGCGGGTTCAATCTTAGAAGTACATAACTTTAGTCATAAAATAGTAGTTGTCAAGTGGGTTCAAATAAAATATTTATACAAAATTTACGTTGCTTTAATCATAATTTATACATATACACAGTATTATTTTTTGGTGAAGCGGGTTCAGTTGAACCCGTTTTCCACCACGTACGTCCGCCACTGATTGTACATATAGCCTTAAGCTGTATTTTTGCAAGAGGTTGTTTCCGCATCTTGAACCCTGACATCCTAGGCAGGGGCGGATCTACCTTATGAGGTAGGGGTACCACGACACCCGCTCGCTTCGCTAAAATTCTTAGTATGTACATAATATCTCTGTGAAAAAACGTATAAATGGATAGAGTGGCACCTAGAAGTCACAAAGTGGAAGCGGGTGTCATTGGTTTAGCCTTCCCTTTGAAGGCTTTCCTTGGCCTCTTGAATACAAGTTCGATTCCCTGTTGGAGTCTCTTTTCCTTCTTTTTCGGTTCTTTCCCTCCTTTTATTACTTGCTAAGTCTCTCTTCTTCATTTGTTTTAACTTTCAGTCCTCATTTTGTTTCTATCATTATACCTTACTTTATGAACAATTATTTTCTATAGGTAATTTGAATTGATTTTAACTAGCATATAATTTCTTTATTTTTAATGAAACGATATTAATTTATATATTGGAATATAATTTGAGCAATATCTTCTATTGGGTTTTGAAAAAAAATTAAATGGCTTGATTGATAGTCGTTTTGAGTCAAATATCATAGGTTGAATGTTGAACGTTTTTCTTTGAAAATAATTGTCATATAACTCAACAATTAAGATGGAAAAATAAACAAAGAACAATACAAGTAAATTAATCTAGTCAAACAAAGAATATATAGTGTAGTTAAGGTACTCTTTAAGCAAATATTTATATTGGAGGAGTTCTTTCATGAAATGTTATTTTTGTTTGCATTTTTATTTAGAATGTGTTTAAATTAAGCGTTAAAAATTTGAACTAAAATCGAACTTATTTGCTTTGTGAATGAAAGACCTATTCAAATTAACCAAAAACTAACCAAACCGACCCATTATTCCTAATCTGTCTTTGTAGCTACTGACATGTATATTGTATACATAACATGGTGGCACCCGCAATCTTCGAATCCTGGATTCGCCTCTGATCCTAGGCACACGGCTCTTAAATTATATATAGTCAAAATTTTCTTAAGAAATACTATATACTTATACTAAGTTGGCATTCATTGTGACAAGAGAGTATGAGTGCAGTCGTACTGTAAACGTTCTAATTAAAATTTTGGATTTCCCTTTGTGTTTAGTCATGTGCAAAGTTCTAATTTTTTGCAAGACGTGTTGATTAAATGGCCTAATTTTGATCTGTTTTACTAAAATTAGTCTTTGGAAGTGTAATTCTGAAAGTTGTTTTCTTGATAATTGAATACACTACCCTCATGGATGTACTGCTTACAAGGAAATTGTAG